ATAAGCAAAAATACTTGATCCTTTTTTGACAACATCATCTAATTCCTGTTATTGATGTACATTTTAAGAAAACCTATTGAAAATCTTAGAAACACCATATTTGACAGCGCATTAAAAAAAAAGTTGGCATCTGATCGCTTTATTGGGCCAGACAGATTAACGGCTAACTTATATAAACATTTCTGGGAGGATTTCAAACTTCCGTTGTTCCAGGATTTAGAAGAACATCTTATCAGGAAGGAACTTATTGAACAAGGTATAATAAAACTAATTCCAAAACCTGGGAAATATATATTTTTAAATAATTTAAGAAGTATTGCATTTTTGAATACAGACTACAAAATCATCACAACAGATTTGGAGATAAAATTTGGTTAATCTAAACTGATCAGTACTACACAATCTGGTTTTCTAAAAGGAAGATCCATCAATAACAACATCCGCCCAGTTCAGGACTTTACTGACTACAGTCATTAAATAAAGGACGACAGCTTTATGTTGTTTCTAGATTTCTATAAAGACTTTGATTCTGTGGAACATGTATTTATTGTTAGAACATTTAGACATTTTGGATTTGGAAATAGGTTTCTTGATATGATTGCCATCCTTGAATCACAGCCTTATCGTGGTGGAAGAGTGTGTGCGACTGAATGATCCTTGGAGCTATGCTGCTGGGGGCAACTGTACAGTAACTGCCCCTGGCAGGGTCTTTCTTAAGAATATATTAGGTCAAGGGTTATGCATGTTCTATTTCATATAGGCTTTGCCCTTTAAGGCTTTAACAATAGTTTTAAAAGGTTATGTTCCATGTCTCAAGAGCCATCTTTGATAAGTCAGGGTCAGAGCGCCAAGGGGCCCGCCTTTGGCCACTGCCCATGGCGTCGTGCACCCGACTCTGTAGGTGGTGGGCCCACAGGGAGACAAACCCATGTTGCTCGTTTGGGCTACGTCTGACCAGGTCCCTTAACACCCCAACATTGTGCCTGTGTGTTGGGAGTTTTCCCTGGTAGCTGAAAGGGTAGCTTCTAGGGGTGCAGAAAAAAAAAACGGATTCATTAAAAAGTATCACGCTCTACCAACGATACTCTTTAATGAATCTTTTTCTTTTTCATTAAAGAATCAAAATTCTAAGTCCTGGCGATTCTGAATCGCCCACAAATCGATTTTAAAATGCGTTGAAGGTTTATATTTTTCCGCTCCTACTCTGGAAATTACGTGTCCACCCGTCACCGTAGAATTTGGTCTTGTAGGCCTCCGTACAACAAGCTAGTTAGCCAGCTCCCTTTGCCTGCTGAGAAACGGAACGTCCTCCCCTCTCGAGCTGTGTAAAAGTGTTGTCATTGCCTTGCAATGTCTTTATTTCACTTGTTAGTGGTTAAAAAATAAACTTCAGGTTTAAAATTATCTGGTAACACAGGTTTTCTTTTCTACAGTGTTTAGGACCATTGTTACAAACTTTAGTCTTCTTCTTCGGTTTGCTGGAGTGTAACGTGCATCATCGCCCTCTACAGGTGGAAACTAAAACTCCAATTTATCAACATGAAAGTTCATGCTCAATAATCCAGGTAAAAATCCAACAACGTTCAGTCAGGTCATGTTTTTTCCCCCCAATATGCGAGTGTGCTGCTTGTGGGACTCAATTTGTTTGTAGCTCCTCAGACTGATGAAGTTCTTTGGATCAAGGACAAAACATCTCAGCACAAAAAGAAACCTAGATGACCTAACTGAACATTGTTACAATTTTTCAAATCTAATAATCCCGATTACAGATTATCACCTGCCGCTGAAAGCAAAGCCAAGCGATAATGTAACCTGTTCTGTTAGCAAAATAGTTCATGAGTCACTGAACGGTTTTTGATGAAGCTTTCAAAACGTGGATCTTTGCGTCAACATCTAAAACTAATTAACTCGATGGCTGCCAAGAATTTCAACAACTCTACTAATTACACAAATATTGAGCTAAAATTCGGTGTGGTAGTAGCTGAGACTTATCCTCAACTTGTACTGTGAGCACTCACTGACAGCACAAGACCTCTGTTTAAAGTGTTGGCATTAACTTTTGGAATCAGCTGTTTGTTAAAATATCTCATTAACCATTAGATGGATGAGTTTTCACAAATTATCTATCATCCACAACTGAGGCGTCCACATTAAGCAAACAGATTTTGTTGTTATTTTTTTAAATCTTCGTGCCTGTCTGACGCAAGCGGTTATTTGTGTGAGCAGATCAGGGGAACGCTGAACTTTGGAGCACCCATGGATCAAGTGTGTGGTGTTAAATAGCTCCTTCACTCTTTGACCTTAAAGGCAGGCAGCTTTCTCCACTACACGGAGGAGCGAACACAAACATAAACATCATCGTCAGTTGTCGGCAGCAGTGGCTGAGTGGTTAGAGCGGTTGCCCTCCAACAGGAGAGTTGGGGGTTTGATTCCACCAGCATGCTGAAATGTCCCTGGGCAAAACATTGATGTACGAATATAAGTAGCCGTAACAGCAATGAAGGCTACTTATGGGACATATCTGGTTGGCAGGCCTCAGACTGATGAAGTCTTCCGGATGGAAGACGAAACGTTTCTCCCTTAAAGAAACTGGTCCAGATTAAATTATTTAACCTTTTTTGTTTTATCTACCTGGATGATTGAGCCTACAAATCTTTTTTTAACGTGTATGAATGTTATCTAAAGCACCGATGAGTCTTTAATGATTTGTTCAATTGTCTTTGTACAGATCTAGTAGAGTGCTGTATGAATGTGTGGAGGTAAATGAAGCCACAGATCGTGTTGTAAAGCACATTAAGCATCTTGATTATTTAGAAATGTGCCATATAATTTACCATTTAAATGAAAGAAGCGCATTGTCCACAGCACTGAAACTGCCCTGCTGAAGGTTTTTAACGACATCTTCAGATTCACAGATACCGATGATTCTGTGCTGCTTGTCCTGTTGGACCTCACAGCCGCCTTTGACACCATCGACCATGAGATCCTCATTGCTAGGTTAGAGCAGTGGGTGGGCGTCACAGGGTCAGCCCTCAACTGGTTCAGATCTTACCTCTCTGACAGATCCTTTTGTGTCTCCATCAAGAATTTTAGTTCTGCAGCGGCAGAGCTTAAATGGGGGGTTCCGCAGAGGTCCATCCTGGGTCCCCTCCTATTCTCTTTATACCTGCTGCCACTTGGTGATATTTTCCGGAAACACAACATGCCCTTCCACTTCTACGCCGATGACTGTCAAATTTACTTCCCCCTAAGACACAATGGTACATGCTCTATTCAACCTCTGCTTGACTGCCTGGCTGACATCAGGGACTGGATGGCTTTAAATTTCTTAAATTTCAATGAAAAGAAGTCTGAAGTCATGTTGTTCCCTCCCAACGACACGATCACAAACCACTGTATTGACCTCTCTGCTCTAACCCTGTCAGAAAAACAAAGAGTCACTAATCTGGGAGTGATAATGGACCCTTCCCTGAAACTTAACAGTCATGTAAACATGATTGTTAAATCATGTTTCTTCCAACTGAGGCGGCTGTCTAAACTGAAGCCCATATTGTCCAAAAAGAACCTGGAGACAGTAATACATGCATTCATTACATCTAGGCTTGATTACTGCATCTCACTCCTGTTTGGTATCAGTCAGACCTCCAATGCACGACTACAACTGGTCCAGAATGCAGCAGCCCCATTTTTAACCAGTATAGGCAAAAGAGAGCACATTACACCAGTTTTGGCCTCACTGCACTGGTTACCAGTTCACCTTCGAATCCAGTTCAAAATACTCCTGTATGTCTACAAATCACTGAACAGTTCCCCCCCCATCTCTCTGATCTGCTACAGCCGTATGTCCCACCACGCCTCCTGAGGTCAGCGGACCAGTTGCTCCTCTGAAGTTCCAGGAACTCGTCTTAAGCGCAGAGGTGACACGGCCTTCTCTGTAGCAGGACCAAGACTTTGGAACGAGTTACCTCTGTTTGTCAGTCAGACCCTCTCCCTCTCGGTTTTCAAGTCCTGTTTAAAAACTCACTACTATTCAGTAGCTTTCAAAACCAGGTGATCTGTGTTTTGAACCTGTACGCTCCACACTGGTTAGTCGTCATATTTATTATCTGCATCGTTTTTATGTCTATATTTTTGATTTACTTAATTTTGTATTTTGCTTCGTGTGCTGTCTGTTGTTCTGTCTGTACAGCACTTTGGTTGGCCTTGTCGCTGTTTTAAGTGCTCTATAAATAAAATGGTATGTATACCAAGGTTTTAAATGTGCTGTGAGATCTGTTATCTCTGGAGGACATGTTGGAGATCCCTCTTATCTACTACCACAACAAATGTTATTTCTGTGTTTCCTAACACAGCAGGCAGCCATCTTGAATGGGAGAAAGGTAAATCAGATGTGTAGAGATCCAAACAGTTAAGTTTTTATTAAATCTACCCAGTAGTTAAGATGTTTTTCTAAAAAAGACAGACGCACACAAAATTACACAATCGCTCGCTTATCACATCAGGCAACAAAAAAAAAAAGAAAGTGAACAAAAACAACTTCTAAAAATCACAACACACGGTTGAATTAAATCGAAGCCGTTTTATAAATTAGTTTGCCGTCACAATAGCTTTACTTTAAACAATTAACTTTTTGTCCTGACTCTTCACAAATTGTAAATCTATAAACTACTTCAGCTGCACGTTAGCTAAAATGACAGCCAACCATTTTATTTACTCCCGTCTTTATTGTGAAAGTAGATTTAGTTCAGCTCTCGTATTTACAAACTTAAAGGAATGGTTGCCAACTTCCTGCTGCTTTGGTGCAACCACAAGTTGGTGGTTCCACATCCTCTGAGGAAAACACTCGTACTGACCTTACACACACTAATACCTAATAAATTAAAAATAAGAGGTTTGTACTGACCTTACACACACAAATACCTAATACAATTTAAAATAAGAGGTTTGGGACTGGATATCTGCAAACTACGTCACAGCCATTGTGTTTTCTCAGCACCCACCTTCTCCACAGGAATGAGGTGGTCTCCTCGCAGCTCCTTCGTGTTTCTAAAGCAGCATTTCCTCCTGCTGGTGCGTGACATAGAAACACGCGCGTGCCTCCACGCATGTGCGCATGTTTTTTTCTTTAGTTTGCTGGGGTTCAAGAGAGCAGCTGACCGAGCCTTTAAAGGCAGAGCAAGGTCACAACAGAGAGGAAACTCGATCCTTTTTCCGCCATCTGCTGGTTGGAATCACGCAGGAAACGAGTCTTTCATCAACGAACGCTCACGTGACGTCATACGACAACAAACGACGGTCGTTGGTGTGTTACAAACTGCTGCAGCGCGTTTTCGGTTTTAGTTTTCTGTGATTTTCATCGCAGAAGGGAAAAAAAAATATTTCAGGGAGGCGAGGAAGTAGCTTCAGTTTCTGTTGTGACGTCACTCATTCACCAAAACAGTGCAGTGTTGGATTGTGGGTAATCCTGGGACTTTAAAGTGTCTTTACTGTTCAGATGCATCTGTGCAGATTTTCTGCAGTGACGCTGCAGGAATGACAGATGAGAGCAGAATTATTATTTTTATTCTCACGTTGCTTCCTGAAACATGACTCCGCGTTGGGGATGTTGTCAGATTTGCTGCGTCGCTGTAGCTTGAAGGCCGACCCGTTTGCTAAAGTCCATCATCTTGTGGTGCAGGATGGCGCTGACGTTCATCAGCTGCTTCTCCCTGGTTTTCAGTCGGTTCTGCATTGAATTCATGGACCCCAGCAGGACGTCGTCTCTGCTCTCAGACTTTTGGGTCACTGTGACGTCCTGTCTCCACGCCTCCCGTAAACTCTCCATCGTGTCTTTTGTTTTGGGTCGGAGCTTTTGGTCCTCCTGCTGGTGTTGCTCCTTCGCCTGCCTGGCTGCTTGGACCCGACTGATGTAGAGGTGCAGCCGGCTGTTCTCCACCCTGACCTGCTCCAGGATCACGCTGTGGTTACAGATGCTCACCTCCATGGCTCTGAGCTCTGAGCTCCGTTTGCTCAGCATGTCTGTGCGAGTCTCCTGCAGCTCCTCCAGCTCGGCCTTCAGGTCCTCCTCTTGGCCCAGCAGGAACTCCGTCTGGTTCTTTGTGTCCTGAATCGACAGCTCCAGCTCAGTCTTCTGCCAGCGCAGCTCGCTGGTGAGACGGTCGTGTCTGTTTTTCATTTCGGTCCACGTTGCCTCCACCTCCTTCAGCATCTCCTCTTTCTCCTCCAGCTCTCTCTGCTTCTCCTCGGTGCTCCTGCGGATGGCCTGGATCTCTGCACTGATCTGCTGCACCTTCTGCTGGAGGATTTTCTCCATTTGTCTGTTCTCCATCTCTGTTTGGGTCATGTAGCTGATCAGGAAGTCGATGTCGGCGCTTTTGGGCTTCAGCTGCAGGAGCTCAGCCTCCTCCTGCAGCAGCTCCTCGTACCTCCTCTTTGTGTGACTAATATCAGACCTCATTTTCTCCACATGCTCCTCGTGCCTGCTCTTTGCCTCCTCCAGGAGTTGACTGAACCTCCTCTTGTCCTCCTCGTACTGACTGATCTTCTCCTTGGCTGACTCCATATCCCTGCGCAGCTCCTCCCGGTTCCTCTCAAACGCACGCCTGGTGCTGATTTCTGCTTCTTGGAGTTCTTCGGTCTCCTTCTCCATCTTCCTGACGTCCTTGCTGTGGACGACGATGGAGGCGATGCACTCCTCCAGCTGCAGCCTGGACCATTCCAGCTGCTGGGACACGTGCACGCACTCAGCCCGCACTTCGTTTTCCTCATCGCGCCTATGCTTTAATAACTCACACATCTGAGACAAGGATTTTCCAAGGAGCAGCCCAGACGCTCGGTCCTCCTCCATTTTCTTTTCCACCGCAGCGATTTGTTCCTGAAGGTTTTTGATGGTGACACTGAAGGCCTCCTTTAACTCACGAGACTCCTTCTCCTGCCTTTCTATTTGTTGACTCAGTTCTTTGTGCCTTTGGGCTTCCTCCTCCAGCTTCTGCTCACACTGCGTCCGAGACGTCACCACTTTTTTCAGGATGCTCTCCAGTGTGTCCACACGAGCACGGAGTTCACCTAAACGCCCGAGAGTTTCTTCTTTCTTGCCGTTCACGCGGTCGAACTCTTCTCTCCTCTCGTCGACGGCTTCTACCTGCAGCTTAATTCTCTCCACCGTCTCGTCCGCCTCTCGGGACAGGCGGCCTTTTTTCTCCGAGCAAGCCTTCCTCTGTAACGCCATGTTTTGCTCAAGGGACGTTCTTTCCTGTTGGACAGCAGCGAAGGAGGATTTGAGCTCCTCCATCTGCTGCAGCTTCTCATCCAGCTGCATCTGCAGGTTGTATTTTAGATTCATTTGTTCATTCAGAGCAGCAATGACGGCCTCGTGCTCGGCCTTCACCTGCTCCCGCTCGGGGTGAAGCGTTTTGTTCTGGTTTAAAAGTGCCTGCAGCTTTTCTCCAGCGTCTTCCTGGAGATGTGAGACCAGCTTGAGGTCTTTGCGCAGCCGCTCCATCTCCTCAGCGTTGGACTCCCGGGCCGCTGCTGCATCCGCCATCATCTCCTCGCTCATACGGTCGGACATGTTCTTAATCTGGTGTCTCAGCTTGCCGTTCTCGATAGTTTCCACCTCCAGGTGTTCGTGAGCAGCGCGCCTGGCGGCCTCCAGCTCGGAGACGGCAGCGGTTAGGGCGGTCAGGTGGACGCGGGCCTTGGACGCGAACGGGACTCCATCCTCCTTCAGCTGCCTGTCCAGCTCCGTTAAATGCTCCAGAACCAGCAGGACGGCCGGGAAGTCCGGGACCAGGCAGAGCGCCATGGATTTCCGACCGCGTCCGGTTCTAACGCCGTGTTTGTTGGACCACAAGCAGCCGTTTTAAACTTCCGAATGGATTGTTTTGTTAGTTAGCGTCGCCATAGCAACGGTTGCTCCCGCAACGGAGAGTTCGACGGCGCGCCACGAAGACCAAAATCCCTCTAAGCGATCGCTAACTGAGAAATACAGTAAAGCGATTTTATGTAAGCTCGTAAATAAAAATAAATACACTCCCACGCTGGGTGGATCTCGTGTTTAAAACACGAGAGAAAGGCTCGTTAAACGTGTGTAATGATAGTAAAACGCAACACAGGCCGAGATTTGAGCTTACCTGACGTTTAGCTTGACCCGCAGAAAAACGACTGTCAGCAAACATCAAACTGCAGAAACTGCTGGGTTGCCAGGTATGAATACAATCTGAGGAATAGTTGCGATAATCTGCTGTTTTCTTTCTTTCTTTTAAATACCCTGGCAAGTAAACAAGCCACATCTTTTAAAAATATTAACGATTTTTGGATACTTTTATATACCTAATAAAGCAATGTTTCACTAATTACAAATATATTATATATTTCTAGATGTGAACAAATATATATATATTTTTTTAAATACAATTTACATTAAATAATTGTTGTTTACGTGTTTTGTTAAATTAAACCATTTGAGTGTTGTTTTGATTTAAAAATGTATTTTACTTTTTTTTTTAATGATGTGCTTTTCCCAGCCCCACAATTTAACTAAATTTTGTAGGCCATCCAAAAACTTACTCAAAGGCCACTCAAAAGAAAAAATTACTCAAGACTACTTATTGAAAATCACAAATCTGCAACACATTTCAAATTTTCTTCTTGGAAGTCAAATTAAAAAGAAAAAAAGGATTATGTTTTTTTTTTCTTTTTAATTTTACTTAATTCTTAAGCACTTTGGTCAGCTTTTGTTGTTTTTATGTGCTATAGAAATAAATTGACATTGACTAAAACTATTGCTCAATATGAATTAGACTTAAATGTAGTGTATGAATGTTGTAGAATAAAAATCCTGTTAAAAAATAAAATACTATACAATGCATATCTTAAATCATTTGAATTGAAATGTACATTATTGAGTGTGTAGTTTGAAACTAGTTTGTTTTGAAGGCTTTTATCATAAATATATTCACAAGCAAATAAGTAACTGAATAAAATAATTGTATATTATTCATTAGTATAATTTTTAATTTTGTTGGTTACGTTGGTGAACACCTCTTGCCTTCATGTTTCCACAAAAAGAAATTTAGTTCTCACCACCAGCACTATTAATTATTTTAAGGATAATAAACAAGAAAATTGTTGGATAGAAGTTATACATATTAATTAAAAAAAAACACAAAAAGAACTAAACCAAAAAAAAAATCTAACACAGGAAGTATTTTAATTAATTAGTTGATACTTTTTCGACATTATTTGCGTTTTAAAGACACTGCCATGTAAGATTTGCGTTTTCATGCTTGTGTTGACAGTTGCGCCTGGCAACCCTGGAAGTCGCATGTTGATGACGCAGTTGGAAAGAAAGCAAAACAACAGCATAGAAATAAAGCAAACAAACTCCAACCCCAATTAAATGTTTGGAAATTCGCGTTTTTTACTGATGACAGCTAAAGTCCAAGGGAGTCTTTTGAATCGCATATTGTCGCGCTTTCTATGTGAAACTTTTGGACTGAAAATTTATGTTTTCAAAGTGGTATATTTTGCGTTACCGTCTTTCCCGCCGTATCTACCTACCTGCCGTAGCTGTGGCAGAAGCTCCGCAGCGCGTGGAGCATCGGAGACATGGCTCTCGTCTGTAAGCCCAGGAGCAAGTCCGCCGTGTGGATGTACTTCGGCTTGAAGGCAAATGAGAAGGGACAGCCTCTGAACACAGACGAGGCCATTTGCCGCTTGTGCCGCAAAATCGTCCTTGCAAAAGGAGGGAATACCACCAATTTAAGAAGCCACCTAACACGTCGCCATCGTTCAGATTTCTATGACTCCAATTCCTCCGTAACTCCTGAAGCTCAAGGTACTCATCCACTCAATTTGGTGATTTTTAATTTGCAAACATCGGTGAGTTTCATGTATGCGTCGTTGCATCGTTTCACTTCGTTCTGCAGCAGCTCACAGATCATTTCTCGAGAGCAGCTGCAGATAAAAGTTGTTGACACCTGAAGTGCGAAGAGTTAAGGTACCTAACAGTTTTGCATTAAAATAAATGATAGTAAAATGCTATGCAGAATGTCACTCAGAACCTAAATGCCAAAATCTTCTGCAGCAGCACCTTCAACTCCAGCTTTTCTTTGTTAGAGTTTGTGATTTTTAACTCTAATGCTGCTGCCCAGACCAATAAATAAATAAAAATCAAATCTCTAAATAGATGTGCAACTTGTTGGCTATCTTACAGCAAAGGTTTTGATAAAAGAAGGTCTGACCAGGGCGTTGAAAAAAGTATCCCCTTCCCTTGATCCACATTTTGTCATGTTACAACCACAAATTAGAAATTATTTTACTGGGTTTTAACGAGACCGTTTAACATGAAGCAGAGCATAATTGTGAAGTGAGAGTATGAAAATGTTACATACAAAACCTGAGGTGACGTGCATTTGTATTTCAAAGTTTTGTGCTTCTTTGTTGGTCAGGTAGTTCAACCTGTTCATCAGATCACATTCACCGTCATCATTTACAAAATACTGAATAACTACTTCCTCTGATCAGGTGAAATTTGCTTAAAGTGATGACATTATAGCAACAAATTACGTAAATCTACCCAAGGCAAAAGGTCAGGTCATCTGGACAGATTCTAATTGTAGAAATGTTTCATCTTTAATCCAAAGGACTTCTTCAGTCTGAGGAGCTGCAACAAACTCAGTCTTATAAGTAGGGGTGGGGCTGATCCGGTGTATCGGCCTCCGATACCAGCATAATTTACGTATCGGATTAAACCTGCAGAGATTTCCGATCCATGATGCACGTTGGCTTCAAACTATGAAATGGATTTCCTGAACGGAGGCGTGTCTCATGAGCCCAGAGTAATAAGTCCCGCCTCACATTCAGGAAATCCAGTTCGTAGTTTGCAGCCAGCTACAAGGTGAGGACTGAGTTAGCAGCACTGTGGCTAACGGCTAACAAGTTTTCATCTAAACATGTCCGCTGTGTGGAAGTATTTTACACAAAACAAGACGGCAACGTGCAATGTCAGTACAACAGTAGACAATCATTAAAAAAAACATGATTTGAAAATTACAAGAAAATTATTTATTGTTATTATTATTATTTCTTATCTTAATGTGGAACAATTAACACGTTGCATCTTAAAGGCATTTTATTTAAAGTGTTTTAGTGTACTTTTAAACTTTCAAAATCGTTTATTTAATTAGGACAAGTCAATATTTGAATGAATAATCACTTAAATTAATCACTTTAACGTCCACTTTAAAGCTAGGAATAAATAAAATCATGTTTTGTGTTAGCAGAATTTAATTCTAACTTTAAAAACTTATCCAACATTAATAAAACTTACCTCAAGTTGCCTTTTTGGACATGCATGCATATATTTGTACAAATTCTAGTTGAGAGGAGATTATTACAGCCTCATATAAAATCAATATTGATGATGATATTGGAACTGGATCGGTATCGGCCGATATCCAGATTTAGGTATCGGGATCGGATCGAAAGTAAAAAAAAAAAAGGTGGATCGGTTCCTACTTATAAGCAGCACCTTCTCATGTGCAGGACGTTCATTTTCACACGCACCTTTCATAGTCCACGTCCACGAGACACAGAGCTCCTGGGAAAGCCCTCCTGCTGCAGCATTTATCACCATGTGGGTTTCTTCCTGCCAGAGTCGCCACTCTGTCCCTGCGTCTGCCTTTGGCCACAAATCTATGATGAAGGGAGCGCAACACTCCACAATGTCTGCACGATCTCCATCCATTCGTTTTTGTTCATTTGACTAATTTAGTGTGTTTGTTTAGTCGTGCAGCTGAATGTCCGAGTTAATTTCTGCATTGATGGACACGCCCACAAGCTTCTGACCAATCACACACTTGGAGCATACGCCTGTGAGAACGTTTTGACCAAGGCCTTGTGTCGAGAATGGGCGGAAGAAGCTGGTCTGCGACCAAAATGACGTAATTTTCATTACACAACTGCAACAATGAGACGATTTTGGCACTTCGGATGGAGTATGCAGTGCCCTTGAAACTGCTGCAGCTCCTCAAACTGAAGAAGTCTTTTGGATAAAAACCAAAACGTTTCAGCAAAGAAGAATTCATCCACAGGACCTGACTCAGTCTTGTTAGATTTATCTACCTGGATTATTGAGCATGCATCAGGAGGCCAAGTTTGAGCTTTGACCCTGTGAAATTTATGCTCAATGAAAACAATTCAAGCAGGTCTGAACGTTTCAATTAATACAACTTTATTTATTAAGCACTTTAAGAGTTAAAAGAGGTAGTTTACATGCAAACTGCACAACAAAACATGTCGTTTTTCATGATAAAATGGAGTCCAGCACAGAAATCTGAATCTTACTGAGTAAAAGGAAAAGCTCCAGATTTTTTCTGTTTCACTCAATTTAGTTTTTTCCCTGAGTAAACAAAAAAAATGTAGACTTTTTTAAAGGTAACGTGTAAAAGAATGCTATTCATTATCTCTACAATTGCTCTTTTTACCCCTTGCGTCAGTGGTTTGTTGGCTTTTAAACTTTTTATTTTTAATGCTTCACAAATGGTTCCTCTCACCTCTTGATGATGATTGCCATCCGTGGCTGGTTTTGTACCCGGTTTGTCTGCCGCCCCAACGTTTATGATTTGATCTACCAAAGCACATTTTTAAAAGGAAGATGGGCAGATTTGAACAAATATCTCAATAATTTTTCATCAGCATCCTGGTTTCTAGACCTGGACGTTTGTTTTGGATGTTTTCTGTCGATTGTTGGATGCTCTGGAGATTCCCTCATTGTCATTCGCCAACTAGTTGCAGGGCAGCGAGGTACCAGCCTAAACAATTTTAGATGCAAAAAATGTAATTTTATTGTTTTTTTTATACTTCTAACACAGTTACATTATTAAATGATTGTTTGAGGGTTAATGTAACTCGGACTCATCAGGGTTTTTGTTGACAGCTGAATTCAGCGACCAGTTAGACTTGGTGATCTTAGCCCAGTTCTTTCTTGCACCTCTCGTCCTCACAACCTTTAGCCGTCGTTGCTTTTCAGAAGAAGAGAGAAGAACTTAACCTTTCTTCTTTCAACCTGGCACCTCTGGTTGGCTGCATTAATCCGACTCTACATCTGGGGATTATTTTACCAGCTCTGTCGTCGAGACTGTTTCAAGTGATGCTTAGACAAACAATTCAAATCAAAACCGTTGCAAGTGTGTAGTGATCAGGTGTTCTGTGAAGAAAAAGCTATGTTGTTGTGATTGTATGGCATAATGAGGTTGGGGGGGGGGGGGGGGGCGGGTAAGGAAAGTCAGGAACAAGTGAAAAGACGAGACTGCTGAACTTTTTATTGTAAAATGCATTAATTTTAATTAGGGCTGGGCGATATATCGATATTTTAAAAATATTGATATAATTTTATTCGCAATATAAACCGACATTATTTCAATATAAACGATAATATACGTGAAAATCTGCCTGCTCTTCTTTCTCCCATGCGGCCCCCCTCCTTCTGCCGCATTCTGCCCGCTTCCTGCTTCGAGGCGGGCGAGAGACGTTTAGCACAAGTAAACAAGGGAGATGTGAAGAGCAGCTTAGCTGCTGAACAAAAAGAGAAACGATGGCTGTTCTTTCGGAGATGGTTTGGATTTAAATTGTCAGATGAGGGGCAGAAAAATGTTTTCTGTAGACATTGCCGAAAGCAAGTCCCGACATTCAGCACTATGGATCTTTCTCACCATTTAAAACAGTGGTATAAGTGTGTATGAAGCTGCAGGCCCGACAGACCTCAGCCTCCTTACCTGACAAACCACGGGTCAGAACTCATTTAGCCGTGCTGTGCCTTATGAGAGGAACAGAGAGGTGGTGTGACATTAAATCTGTGCACAGTAGTTCTTTTGCCCGTGCTGCTTCACACACGCTTACTAATGCGAAGGCTGCGCAGCCGAAGAGGATTATTATTTAATACATGTAAATAAATGTCTATAAAACAAACTTTAACATATGTAAAAGTTTATTTATTTAGACATTTGTTTTGTAGCGTTACAGCTGTTATAAATGTGCCTGTGTGATAACTGGGACAAAGCTTTGACTCAAATTTTTGTTATTACTTTATGGAAAGAAAAATGTATATCGTCATTTTCCTTAAAATATCGAAATATTAATTTAGGTTCATATCGCCCAGCCCTAATTTTAATAAAACAAACTAAGGCATTGTTCTTGGCCCTTTTAGGGCAATTTTATGATTGACGTTTATTTTTACTGCTTGTTTTTCCTTAGTGTGATCATTAGTGTGTGTTATTGCTCCAGTAATTTTAATTCTGTATGATGTTTTTGTTTTGCTGCCTATGTTTTGCTACATTTCTGTTAAGCACTTTGATAACAGTTTATCTGTTTTAAATTGTGCTCTACAAATAAAGATGACTTGACTTGACTTGAATTTCTAGAAGCGTGCTTATCAAGATCTGGCAACCCACGCCAGTGTTGTCGTCACATCATAGAAGTAGAGCAGATAGACTGCGCTCCACCCACCTAATTGTTGTAATCATTGTCTTTCTAAGCGTTTGAACCAAATGAAACATAACGCCGTTATGCGCAGGCGTTGTGCGAATAAATAAATCAATTAATTAAAACCCCGACTTCCCCCCGTGTGACATTGAAAACCTCGGCTCCGTCTCTCGCTCCGTGTTCGCTCTGGGCGCTCTAGCTCTGCTGCAGCTCTGCAGAGAAAGGGGCACAACATGGATCTCATCGGGAAGCCGAGGGGAAAGTCCATGGTGTGGATTTACTTCGGATTTAAAGCGGACGAGAGAGGCCGCCCGCTGAACGCCGACGAGGCCATTTGCCGCTTGTGCCGAAAAATCGTGCTCGCCAAAGGGAACACGACGAACCTGAGGAGCCATCTGAAGCGCCGACATCCCGTCGAGTTTCTAGCCAGCCTCGCTCCCTCCACATCCGGGGCTTTGTCCGAGGCTCAGGGTAATGTTGACCAACCAGCGCCTTTAAAACCTTCCAGGCTGCACATAAAAAGAACTCTGGCGTTGATCGCTTTAAGGTTGCAGAGAAAGTTATCAGGACCACAGCGGCCAACTCTGATGATGCGCTCTGTGGTGTAGAAATATAGTGCTTGTTTATATATTTATTTCTGTAAGAGAAGCTGTTATGGATGTTTATAACCGTGTATCATCGACACAAAGCGTCAGGAATCAAGGGGGGAAAAAATCCCGCAGAATTTAGCAATTACTTATCGTGTAATCTAATCTTTCAAGTCAATAAACCCGTTCAATAGCTCGACCAGTAAACCGAGTCTTGTACGCCTGCGCAAAGGGAACGCGACTCTTTGCGCATGCGCAGCCTTGTTGCCATGTTGCCAGCTAATCCCCGTTATTTTTGCGGTTCGATCGTTTTATCAGGGAGCTACACAACAACAGGAAGTTGGTTTTTTTTAACCGTTGAATTATTGCTGTAATTTGTCCCACGACACATTTATTTTCCTTCCGGCTGGTGTTTGAGCTCTATATTAACGCCATTTTATTTTGCTTAAAGCCATTTAAAGACAAAGCATCATCTCGTCCCAAGCTTTTCATTGCATTGTTGACCTTGTGTTGATTTTGCACATGACAAATAAAACCTAACCTATTTTCTAATCTTAATGTCCAGTTCATTTTGCCATTCTATACTTTATATTAGCTCTTAAAAATTGAATTGAAAATTGAATAGAATTGAGCTTCTTTCTTTCTAAAACTAATTAAGTTGGCAGCTGTTGGGTTGATGTTTTAAAGCAATTTATGTCGAAAACATCCTTTTCGTTCAGCTTTAAAAGGAGCTGTAGTGAACAACTGACTAATCTGGAATAAGTGTTGTCCTCACTGTGCAAAGAGGAAATAAGATTTTCATCCCATCACCAGCAAAGTGATGCAGCACTGAAGGAGCCTGAAACGACACCTGTCGGCCTGAACAGGTGCATTTGCTTCACTCGGCTCACTTGGCTTTGGGTTCTGGTTTTACTTCCCTTTACAGCTAAATAAATAACTAAAATAAGCTTTTTACAACCGTTCCGAAGGATGGGGAGGCTGAAGCAGCAGAACAAATCACCAGAAAACGATTAATTTCCAATTAATGAACTTCTCTCTACCAGTCTTATAGATTATTTATTTACCTAATTACCTTTTGAACAAGGTGAAAAAGGTAATACAAGTTTGTTTATGGGAGAAATTAAATGGAATAAGCAAACATTAAATGTGCTTTTTCTATACTAAATGTGTAATTCGTTAGTTTTTTTTTTTTTTTTTTTAATTGTTGCAGAATGTTTATCCTCCAGGTTGTAGTCAGTACCTCACGTCTAATGCATTTCTGTTTTTTTTTTTTCATCACCAGCTTTAGATTTTGGCCACGAAGAGCTCGGGGAGGATATCTCATTTTTCCAAACCCCTTCGAACTCCAACTATGTCCCAGATGCGGTGATCCCGCCAGGCGAGCCGTGGCTTAATGGAGGCCCCTCCCGGGCTGTGCTGTCCCTGCCGTCCTGTCTGTGCCTGTCCAAGCCCAGTGCGCCTAGAACATCTGGTCCTGGGCCTTCAGTCGAAGACCAAGGGGAGCCGAAGGTGCTTGCCAAGTGCCAGCTTCAGCAGGGGGTCATGTTTGGACCTTTTCTGGGAGAAATGTGCAAAGGACAAATGCCAAGCAACCTCAGATTTGCCTGGGCAGTAAGTAGATGCCAAACACAAATATATAATACACATAATTTATTTAAGTGTTAAATTTATTTGTAGGTCTGTCACGTTAAACAATAAATCAATTAATCGCATGATAAATGAAAATTATAGACCTCATTTTCATTTATTGGCTTTATCGTTTCTTCGTGTCTCTCTCTTTCTACTGAAGACACTGGATGACCAAAGGCTCAACTCCGGTGCCTGAGAACTTCCTGATGCATGCTAAAGAACTGAGAGCTGAGAACTTGTTAAATGATTTTTTTTAAATTAAAAGCCTTGTGTGAAAAATGCTATGCTAAAGAGCTCAAACCACAACGAGTGTCCGCCATTTTGAGAACCGAAAAACAGGAACGAGAGACAGCCCATGTCTCGTCAAGGGGCCTCCCTCCCTTATTTTCTTAAAGAGACAAGCTGCTGCTCCCTCACTATCCATCCTTTGGTTCTAACAGTCTTATACTGCTATCCAGTGGTCAAAAAAGGTACTACACGCAAAATTAACCAACATTTATTCTTAAATTTGACAGTAATTACTAATTATTGTCAAATTTCAAACAATAATATTGTTTATCGCAATAATTTTTGAGACAATTAATCGCCCAGCAAAATTTATTGTGACAGGCCTATTTGTGATGTTTGTCTGACGCGATCAAAAGTATGGTTTTGTTGTGTTCAGTGTTTGGATACGAGATGTTGTAAAGTCCTTCATAAATTCAAGAGTAAAGACCTCAAGGCCAAGTTCACTTTGACATTTTTTCAAAGCTAGATCACTTTAATGTTATTTCTTGTGATTTGAAAAAATATATTTTTATTTTTTAACCTAGATTCGAGACGATGCTGCTTTTACCTTTGTGGACGCTTCCGATGAGAACAAATCTAACTGGATGAGGTGAGACGGTATTATCGGGTTTAATTCTTAACTTTTGCTTGTTTTTTTTATTTGACAGTTCTCACAGCTCAGGGAAACGTGACTCTCCGTCTGTGTTTCAGGTACGTGACGTATACAAGCAGTGAAATCGAACACAACCTGGTCGTGTTCCAGTTTTATCGCCACATTTACTACCGGGTTTCCCAGCCCGTCTCAGAGGGGGCGGAGCTCAAAGTCTGGATTGGGAAGGATTACGCCTCGCTTTTGGGTCTGGGGTTAAGTGAGTTTAATCCCTCTGGGTTCCTGACTTGATCGAAGCAGATTCGTATTTCTGTTGATAATAACCCTCAGCTGACCATAGACTTGAATGTATTTGTTTTAAAGCAGGAAGTGTGTATGAATTTGGTTGTGTTGGTCCTACAGGTGATAACGGGAAATGTGAAATTGGAGATAAGGAGACAGCTCTGCGCCTCCTGCAGGACATCCAGCTGATCACCCTCCCGGAGCCGAGCAGCACCTCCCTTTGGTCTGACTGCAGCCAGTCGCAGAGCCCCATGCCCGTCATCAGTGACGTGACGACCGTGCCAAACCCAGAAGCAGCTGGTGATCCGGGTTTGGTTCCTTACCCGATCTTCCCCTCCCCGTTTTCCTCGACCTTGCCCTTGTTGTCCTCGAATTCTCACCTGATGGAGAAGTACGACTTCTTGCCCGGAACAGAGAAGCTGCTGACCAACCTGAACGCCAGCCAGAACAGTCCCTGGCACTTCTTTGGGCTGGAGCCCGACCCGATCGGCCGGCCTCTGGACCGGAACACTGCAGTGTGCAAGCTGTGCCTGGAGCGAGTGAGCTGTGGAGGAGGAGCGACGGATCTTCAACTCCACCTCACCACCAAGCATCACATCAAACTCCGCGACATTTGCAAGGATCGCAGTGCACCGACAGGTAGGAGAGGCGGAGCTTATAACTAAACAAACTTCCATCACAACTTCTGCAGCTTTGATAAGCTTTTAATAATAATTTCTGAGATGGAAACACAATTTAGATATACAGTAGTCCCTCGATACTTTGCGGTCTCACTTTTTCATGAGTTTTCAACCTAAGATTGTACACAACACAAGACTGGCTGATTGATGGAGGGCGACCAACCTGAGCATTGTGCTGAGGGGCGCACTGGCCAGGGGACCTACAGGTTCAGTTCGGGTCACACTTGATTATTTTAGATAAACAATGCATGATGCTCACTCTGGTATCCACCTCACTCAAGCTCCCACAGCAGCGATTGGGAAAGACAGGCCCCACCCCCTCCTTTCTCTTTCTGAGGCTGTCGTCCCCCTCGGGATACTTCTCACTCTCCGCGTCTGAACCAGGACCCGTCAGGTGCTTCAGTGGCCGAGGGAAAAGTCAAAGTCCCTCCTCGGCCCACTGGAGGGAGAGCCGGCTGAGGAGAGGCCGTGTGGGGCGTCCGCGCTCCTGCCTGGGGGTCAGAAAGAGAAAGGAGGGGGCGGGGTCTGTCTTTCTTAGGGTTGTCGCGATAAACAATAAATCAATTAATCGCATGATGAATGAAAATTATCAACCTCCTTTTCATTTATCGGCTTTATCTTTTCTTCGTGTCTCTCTCTTTCTACAGAAGACACTGGATGACAAAAGGCTCAACTCCGGCACTCTTCACTGACCCCTCCCTTTCTCTTTTCTCTTTTAAAATCTGTTTTAACGATCCAAAATCGCATTTTTGGATCATTAAAAGCAACTAAGCTGAGAAGCTAAGCTACGAGCTAAGCTAACAGGCCGACCTCGAGAAAAATCCTCCGTCTTGTAAAGCGCCTCTTTCTCATTTATCTTAAAGAGACGCTGCTCACTCCCTCACTATCCATTCTTTGGTTCTGGTTGTTGAAAAAGGTCCTACATGCAAAACAAATTAAACATTTCTTCTTAAATTTGACCATAATTACTAATTATGGTCAAATTTCTAACAATATTATCGTTTATCGCAATAATTTCTGAGAAAATTAATCGCCCAGTAAAATTTGTAATCGTGACAGGCCTAGTCTTTCCCCATCACTGCTGTGGGAGCTTCAGTGAGGCAGATACCAGAGTGAGCAGCTTTAGTGCTGCTTTTTAGTGAGGGTTTATAAAGCCTTTTATTTATATACAGTGAACGCTCATTTTTCACGGAGGTTACGTTCCAAAAAGAACCCGTGATAGGTGAAATCCGTGAAGTAGTAACCTTTATTTTTTTTACAATTATTATACAATGAAATGCTCCATAATACATTCAAACCAAAGAACAAAACCTTTTTACAGGACCAAGCATTTGTTTAACAAATAAAAGTACTGTATAAATGTTTTTTACAAAAAACTACTGTACTGGAGAGACTGCTTAGCCAATCAGAATGCAGAACACAATGCACGATGCAAATCCGTGAAGTAGCGAGACCGTGAAAGGTGAACCACCTTATAGCGAGGGTCACTGTATAATTATATATATATACATATATATATATAAATATATGGAACTTAACCCTCACAACAATAAGAGAGGGGCTACTGTACTATAAAGCTACAGAAAAAAGATACACTTTCTAAATAAAATGAAAAATTTCATCCCCTGCATGCCGAAGTTTTAAATCTGTTAGCGCTCAAAGTATGAGTTGTGAGTTACTCAGCTACTGCCACAATAATATGAACTAAATATCTGTAAAACTGACTGAATAATAACATTTTTTGTGTTAGCTATAGCATCCATCTTTACAAAAAAAGGTTAAATTGTGTCATCTGGACCAGTTTCTTTAAAAACCTCCTTCTGAGATTCCAACAGGAGGTTGGCTTGAAACAGCAGTGAGGGCTACCTATGGGACAGAGCTGGTTGGCAGGCCGCAGACTGATGAAGTCCTCTGGATGAAACGTTCCTCACTTAAAGAATTTGGTCCAGATGACACGATTTAACCTTTTTGTCATCCGTCTTTACATTCAATGAATTCTTACCTGATATTCTGCTAACAGATGGAAAAAATGAACACGATTGTCCGTCTTTGCGTCTTTTCCTCAGTGTCTCTGCGCTGCGTTCCCCCGGTGTTTCCTCCCAGCGGTCAGGTCAGCTCTGCCCCCGCGGTGATGCCCACTCAGGTGACTCACGCCATCACCAACTTCCTGATCAGGGACCTGCAGGCCCCGGCTCTGGTGGAAGGGGAGGGCTTCAGACAGCTGCTACACACGGTCCTGCCCTCCTACAGGGAGACGCTCACCTCCTGCCAGCTGGAGAGCCTCCTGAGAGACCACCACATCCGGAGCAGGATGAGCCTCCTTCAAATGCTGAGGGGCAAATCTGGAAGCGTGGATGTCGAGGAGATCTGCGACTACACCGCTCCCATAGAGTTCGAGCCCAGGAGGCGAGGGCGACCCCACAGCCGTCAGAGGGAACTCTCTCACTTTGTCACCCTGAGCGTTGACGTTTGGCTCCACAGCTGGCAGGGGAGCAGCCAGCACTACCTCACCCTCTGGGCGCACTACATAGACAACAATTTCGGTCTTCACAACTTGGCCCTGACCACCCAGAGGCTGGTGGAGAGCCAGGGAGAAGACTTCAGCCTTCAGGCCGTGGAGCTGCAGGTGAAAGCGATGGCGCAGGAGTGGGGCATCTCCCAGCCCAATCTGGTCCTGTTGGGAGTGGAAGGCAAAAACGCCACGAAGGTGGGGCCGATAAAGAGTGAGAAGGGAGCGGAGGCCATGGGAAGTGTCCCTCACCCAAATTCAACGACGTTTTTAGAACGGGACGACTCCGTGTCCTCCGAGGAGCCGCAGGCCTCCTCGGAGCACTTCATCGAGGGTCTTCCGTCGGTCCCGTGTTTCTTCAGCGCTGTGCAGGGCTGTGTGGAGGAAGTGATGTCACACCCGGTCGTCTCAGATACCCTCAGCCAGTTCCAGAGCGTGTTCACCGCTCTGTTCCTGCCGCCCGCTCAGAGGAAAGGCTCGTACCTGCACCGCGCTCAAAAGCTGCTGCAGGCCCTGACCAAACCGGAGCAGGCGAGGTTAAAGTCGTGGGCTCACACCCGACCCACCTGGAACTCTCTGTACCCCTTACTCAACTCCCTCAGCAAACATAAAAGTCTGATCTGTGAAATAATTAACGAGATAAACGACGAGAGCTTAAGCAAAGAGGAGACTGCTTTGGAGCTGTGCGGCAGCTACCACGCTAACTCCACCTCCAGCCCGCCATCAACGAGCCTCCCGACGCTGCACTCCGAGTGGATAATGGTGGAGGAGCTCTGTCTGGTCCTCAAACCTCTGGACGTGGCCTGTCGGACTCTGGCCAAGGAGACCTTCCCCCGTCTGTCCCTCGTTAAACCCATCCTCACCGGCCTGCTGTCGCGCCACCTCATACCGCGGCCGGGCGACTCCTCGTCTACCTTGAAGGAGGTGAAGAGGCTGATGAGGCGGCACTTGTCCAGCTGTTACGATAACCCTGCGGTGAACAGGGTTCTGAGTGTGGCGTGCTCCCTTGACCCCCAGTTCCATGGACTGGGCTTCATGGACGACAGGGTGAGATAAACATTTGAAATTTAGGGGAAAAACATGAAAAGGCACTAAATTAATAAATGGTAACCATGTGATTTACATGTTTTCTTTTTCAGTTGATGGTCATTTATTAGGAGGGGTGACGATGTTTGTTTTGAACTTTAAATTGATGGTTCCCAACCCTGGTCCTTGAGGAACACCGTCCTGCACGTTTTAGTTGTTTTGACACATCTGATTTAAACGATTAACAGGCTTCTGCAGAACATGAGGAAGTAATTAAGTCACTGAATCAGGTGTGTTGGAGCAGAGAAACAACTAAAACGTGCAGGATGGTGTTCCTCAAGGACCTGAGTTGGGAACCCCTGCGATTGCATAATGGCCCACCTCAGTTTCTTCCATTCGCTCTTAAACTTTAAAAATCTTGCTTGAGCTTTGATCGTTTCTCAGAATGTGTCACAGTAATGTCTTGGAAGTTAAATGAATAGTTGTTGTCTTGATGTTTTAGGAGCAGGCCGACACGTTTGTTTGGCTGAAGAAGGAGGCCGTGAGGATAGTGAAGGAAAACAGCAAAAAGAACTCGTCTAAGACGCATCGGATCAAGAGAAGCTCCTCTCCTGCGTCGCCGGAGTCCGAGAGCGATACTGTGCGGAGGAGCAAACGACTGAAAGAATGCCCTCCGATCAACTTCAGAGAGCTCATAGTTGAAGATGAATTTAGTGACGCCGGAGAGGGAGACACCGACGATTGCGACTATGTTGAACCAGTCTCTGAGCCCGGGCTCTCCGGTATGGAGTTTCTGCTGGGGGACCTGTTCTGCTCACCGCCCAGAAGCAGGCTGAGCTCCGTGGAGGAGTCCGTGGACGTCGAGATGTCGGTCTTCAGAGCCGACAAGGGGGCTTCGCTCGGCGTAGAGCCCCTGCAGTGGTGGAAGATGAAGGCCGTCCAGTTCCCCCTGCTGGCCTCGGTGGCGCGGGCCTACTTGGCCGCCCCGGCCGTAGCAGGCAGCGCCGCTCTGGACTTCGTGCAGGAAGGACTGGGAACCACAAACAGGAAGAGATCAAACATCCCACCTGAGAGTTTAGATGCAATTTTGTTTCTGCATCACAATCGCATTTCTTCCACCGAGAGCGGGCCGGCAAGCATGCCGGAGTGACGAAACGGAAAGCTTTGACTATTTTTTTTTTTTTTTTGTGCATGTTCAACCTTTTCTAACTTTACCCTCTTTCAGATGAAGACCAAATCTATAGATCGTCATTTTAAAATGTAGAACTAGACGCAGGATACAAAGTGCAGGACCTCTGCACTTTTCAGATGTAGTTTTTTATTTTATTTTTACTCTTAGGTTGTTTTTCTGTCTGAAATCTCTAATCCACTCTGGTTCTGCAGCTAAGTCCTAACTTTAAAACTGCTTTGCCGTAGTTTAACCGATGCAATACTTTTTCCCTCGAGGTTTGTTTTACTACTGATTTACATTTTGTGTCCAGAACACTGTATTTCCAAGTGCTATATTTCAATAGTCTCTGACGACACCTGATCTAAAGCGCGCACACTGATGAAAGATTTCATGTTGGCGTAATCCACCGTTTGTCTTTATTTATTTTTTTATCAATCGCCATCAAGGAGAAAGGTCGTTAAAGCATTTGCAACTGTCGGTTTGACATATTTAGCTACAATCTGGTAGTAGCTGAGAGTCATCCTCAGCACGTACATGAAGTGCACATCTTTGCCTGAAATTTGGGCATCATCTGTCGGAGTCATTAACTGTCTGTCAGCAAAATATCTCTTGAAACTTTGAAGAGAGTTTAGTGAAACTCAGAAAATAATCACAACTCCTGGAATCACCTCCATTCAAAATGACGGCCAAAGCTAATCCAAAATCGCTGTTAGTCAGATTACCAAATATTTAGCTGACGTTTGTTGTGGTAGTAGCTGCGAGTCATCCAAGGTTTGACCATATTTGTTATAAAATATTGGACGTGAATATGTGGCATGGAAGGCGGCGGGTGATATGCATTCCTTTGAGGGGACGATGGGATTTTTGTTGTGACAATTATTTTGCAGGATTAGCTCAAACTTCAGAATCAGAATAAGCTTTATTGTCATTGCACAGAAGTACAGCGAGATTATATTCCGTACAGTCGGCGTGCACGTGGCTGCAGCTTCTAGGAGTGCGGCCCTTATTCTTTAGATAAAAGAGGAAAGACCATGAGGATAGTGGGTATTTAAAAAAAAAAAAATAATCTCCACACCTTATCCTTGTCAGGACAAGATTTAAGACATAAAAACTACCAGCAAGCACATTTATAGACGGATTACATATTTATACATATGCATTTGACGACAAGACGGTGGGATTTGTACATGAAGCACTTCCAGATAGTTCCATAGTCCTGATGAGATGTTAAAGTGTCAGCCAGTACAGCTCTGATAAGCGTTCACAGAAGTTCTCGGGGGGGATAGAGCAGAGATTTCTTAGTTTACACATCAACAAGAGCAGTTTGATAAGTTGGCCTATTCAAGGCCGAACAGGGAGGCCAGATTCAGACGAGCCACAGCTGTTTTTGTGCAGGCAGACTGTTCTTCTCGTCAGCATTGAGTTCTGCTGGTACTCTCGATGGTCCAAAATGGGCTTTCCGCTGGTCTGTGCTTATTAGCCTTCGACAAGATCGATTCCAACATGCTGGCAAGTTCCAGAAGCCGCAAGTGGCCTACGATTCTCATAAATCGCTTCAAGTTTACTGTGGCGCTTGTAAATCAGCCGAGTCTGAGATCTCGAGGCACAAATTAATCCTTCACGTGAGGTGGGCAGCTTTGCCGTGGCCGAAACTGCTGCTGCCGTCTTCCTTAATAACCGATAACAAAGGTGTCCAGCGGTGCCAAAATGCAGAAACCCTGCTATCATAAATCCAATTATGTATAAATCTTGGAGATCCTCCAGAGGCAACACAGACAGGCACGTCAGCTTCCACTCTCCCACAGATCCATGACGTACCCAGCCGCATGCGTCTGTCCGGGGCATGAGGGCTCTCCAGGATCCTGTCGCTTGGTTGAAAAAAAATGTATCAATTGCGTTGAAAGTCCAGCTGATCAGATCCATAACGGTAATTTACGATTTGTAAATAGAAGCTCCGATACGCAGGACGGAGAGCGAAAAAGCAGGAGGGAAGAAAAGGCATCCGTCTTGCTCAAGGGCGAGTGGAAAAAGAACATGAAGTTTTAAATCCATCGCTTAAATGTAGTCAGAAATATTTCAAATGAAACGTCTGGTTTTTGACTGAGCTCTGCGTTGTGTCTGTCTTTAAAAGTCCACCTGCGTCTGCCCCCGAGTGTAATCTTTGTCTTTTTGTCTTCAAACCTGTCCTGACTTTAAGTTCCTGAACGTATAACAAACTTGTTCCTGACTTTTCTAAATAAATAAAAACAACAAATTTAGACTTTGTGTTATGATTTAGTTGTAGGAAAAACGTGCACCTTTCAGTTCTTTGGCTTGACCTTCGTGGCAGAACACAAAAAACAAGTCGTTAAAACGAGGTAAATATGATCTGAGGTAAAGAACTTTTCAGTGTTTTATGCTGTTTTATGTTTTAATCAAGAAAAACTAAGATGGATTGTAGAAGCTGAGTTCAAAATGAATCATTTTTGTACTGTTTGAATTATTTAACACCTATTAAATTTTTTTTTTCCATCTGTTTGCTGCTCTGGACCATTCAGGTGTGTGTTAACACAATGCCAAAGTGGAAAGACATCAGCAATGACCTTAGAGAAGATATGGTTGCTGTCCATTAGTCTTTGAGGGTCAAAGGTCATCATTCTGAGAGATTATTCACAAGTGGAAAACATTAAGGCAGCTGATAATCTTCCCAGGAGTAGCAGCAAATTCACCCTGAAGGTCAGACTGTGCAGTGCTCAGAAAAATGAGCTCCACCTCAGACTCGGCAGGTTAAAGGTCAAAGGTCATGGCCTCTTCTAGAAGGTTTGCAGGAGAAAGTCACCTCTTAAAAACATGGCAGCATGACTTAGGTTTAGAGTCCTCTTAAGAAACCACAAGACTTCTGCAGAACCAGGCCAAAGTGGAGATGATTACCCAGAATGCTCAGCAGCACAGTTAATGAAAACCTGAATGCAGCACGAACCTCATGTTTAAGCTCGGTGGTGGAGGGCTGATGGACTGGGCTTCTTGCAGTCACTGAGTGGACCATGAACTCTGTAGACCGAAAGATTCTGGAGTCAAACGTGGGTCCATCAGTCTGGTGGCTGAAGCTTGGACCAAACTGGGTCCAACAGGACAGTGTTCCCAAACACAGCAGCTAATCTACAACAGAATGGCTCAAAAATGAAAGAACCAAGGTGCTGCAGCGGTCCAGAACTTTAAGAGAGCCAAGCAGAACCATCAATGAACTGAAGCAACTTTCGACAGGATGAAGTAATAATTTTTAAATTGGTGCCACCTCGTGGCCAATGGCGGTACTGAAAGGTAAAGCAGTTCTGCAACGATTTATTTATTTTTTTTTACAAAAAGTGACTTTTTATGTTTTAATCCCTGCCAAAATATTTTAAACTAAACTTTCCTCTATTATTAAACAATTGGAAATGCACAAGGCGTTTAAAAAAACATTGTTTTTTTGTTATACATCAAAATCATGAGAAACAAATGCTTGCAAAACGTAGTTTCTGTTTTGTACCTTAAAACAAAATGCAGGAACATGAAATTTAATTAGAAAAATAAAATGCATGAATAATCCCTTTGCTACAGTTTGGCCTCAGATAATCTGGAGTCTGTGGAGACTTCGGCCCGAGAGGTGTTCTTCCTGCTTTGGGCTTTTCTCCTGCAGTGGATGAAGACGTAAAGAGGATGGATGAAGACCAAGAGGGTGAGGAGAGTGAGAGTGACGTCCACCTGGAACAGACGAGGTCACACCGCACTGCCAAAGTTAACAAGCGGTTCCATTAAGGCGGTCGCTGTAGACGTTTTTGTCTGAAATCTAAAATGTCTCACGTAGAAGGGATCTCCCTGCAGAGGGCCTTTGACCAGGGCGAAGCAGGGGTACTGCAGCAGGGAAATGACCGCAGACAGAGACATCACCAGGCCGTACAGCTTCCCAAAGTGACCGGCTGGAAAACTGATTCAACCGACAAGGAAAAGTTAGTGATGGCTGTTTTTTCAAACGACCATGAAGTTAACACCAACGTTAAAACCAATCCAGTTGTTTTGAAGCTAAACTTTCATCGCCTTCTTAGTTTAGGAGCAGGATTCCTTATCTGTAGACTTAAAGAATCCATGCATACTTGAACATTTGTGCAGCTTCCCTTCCAAACAGTATGTTTAAAGAAGTAATGAGCAATAATGCAACAGTGACAAATGTCTAAGATACTAAATTGAGATGCTTCAATAGTCGTCAATGTTACGTATCTCGTGTTCAGAATGGACTCAGAGGTGATCAATTCAATTTTCTTTCCTCAGAAAATTATATACGTAGTTATAACTTGTAAAATAATGTTGTTACTTTGAGCTTTTGGTTAGCATTTTTATATATTTAGCTAGCCTTTGATACTGTTAGCATTTACCTAGCATTTAGCTTTTAGCTATAGTCTTTTGATTCTTTTAGGTAGCCTTTTGATACAGTTAACTAAAATTTTGTTGCTATTTCGGTTTTAGCAAACATTTAGCTACTTTGAGCTTCTGGTTAGCTTTTTTATATATTTAGCCAGCCTTTGATACTATTAGCTTTAAGCCAGCATTTAACTTTTAGCTAATCTGTTGATATTGTTATGTAGCCTTTTGATACAATTAAATATATTTTGTTGCTATTTGGGTTTTAGCTATCATTTTGATACTTTTAGCTTCTGGTTAGCTTTTTTTTATTTTTTTATTTTTTTACAAATTTATCCAGTCACTTGCTACTTTTAGTTTTTAGCTAGTCATTAACTTTTAGTTAACCTTTTGCTATTTTTCTCTTTTAGGAGTTTTATTTTTTTAATTTTAGCTTCATGCTAGCCTTTAGAAATATTTAGCTGGCTTTTTGCTACTGTTATATCGTATCTGAATGTTGGTTGAATTTGAACATTTTGCAGATTTTATTTAAATAGCTTTTGATGCTGTTTTACTTCTTTAGCCTTTAGCTAGTGTTTACTATTAGTTTTAGCTAGCCTTTTGCTGCTTTCACTTTTAGCCAGTCTTTTGCTATTATTATATTTTATCTGACCTTCTGTTGCATTTACCAAACTTTTTGCAGCTTTTAGCTTATTTCCAACTAACCATTTTCTACTTTTAGCTTCTGTTTTTCCTCTTTTAGCTAGCATTTTGCTCATTTTTGTATTTTGCTACTTTTAGTTTAATTCATTTTCAGCTTCTAAAGAAAATTTCAGCAGGCATCCAGTCTTTAATACTTTTCTAGTTATTATTAATTAATGTGTGTGTGCGTGTTAGGAGCCACTCACGCGATGCTAATGAAGGCTGCGTTGCCCCCGTAGAGGAAGGAGCGATTGAGGACCTGCAGGCTGAAGGTGAGGTACTGCAGAGGGAGGAGAGGGATGGAGGCGCACACAGAGAAGAGGAGGCACTGCAAGGAGGTCAGGAACAGAGACAGGTAGGAGGAGCGCAGGTCTGCCTCCTGTTCGGTTTCTCCTACGGGACCAGAAAAGAAGGAGTGAGGAGAATTGTTGTAGTTTGACACAAACTATCAGTCGGGTTTACCGTCGACTCGAGGTTTTCCTTTATGTCTGTCCAGGATGAGTCCGTTCCAGGGAGCACAGAGAACCCCGAACAGCTGGGTCACTGCAAACACGTTGGTGTACCGACTCACTGGGGGGGGGGGGCGAGGAGACAAACGAAGAGAAAACCAGATGTGAAAATGAAAAGGTCGGAAAGAAAAAGAAGGAAATCTGTAAAGGGTGTACCCAGGTTTTGGTCGTTGTTGGCCAGCCGGTTGAGCGTGGCGTTGAGGGTCCCGATGAAGAGGTAGTGCCTCAGCTGCATCAGGGACAACCACAGGAAGTGGCCCAGGAAAAACCAGGACAGGGCGCAGCTCCGGAAACTCACCTCTGAACACATAAAAACAATTTCACATGTGAAAAGATAACTCAACGTTTCCTCTTGTTCTAAACTCTGTGTAAATGTAGCCCTCAGTCAAGTATCTGCCGTTTTTAATAACGATCAACCCACCTGCTGGGTGAAAGTGGCCCACGAGGACCAAGACTGAGGCCTGGATGATCATTTTAATGGAAGAGCAGCAGGAAGGTTTAAGGAAACCCTCAAACTAATCAAACAGGTACCTTTTTCTGTTTCTTCAGCTCCATCTTCGTGTGACGTTTTGTTTTTCCCACTTAAATTCTGATCCGGGGTCCTCGACGTCTCCCTCTTCCGCTCAACCTGCTCCACGTTATAAGAGTTGTCCTTCCCACAATTCACCCTGAATGTTGAAATAACTTCCTGTCACGTGTCATTCATGAAGACGATCTGGATAGCCTGCAGGTCGTGTGCTCATCCTCTCACCCGTACGTGTAGCTCTGCGGAAGAGGGTAGGGGATGTGGGTCCTCGGCATGAGCAGGAGAGTCCTCGCCACGTGGACGGTGCTGCAGAGGGACATGACGAGGAAGGAGGACCGGAGCGAGACTCCCCGTTCATACAGAACCTGGAAAACAGGAAGCAGGACCCAAACTTTAAAGACCGGGTCGGAAAACAAACAAGAGAAATGACATCATCTGATGAATGGAATCTGTTTAAGAAGCTGAAGCTAAGCTGTTGAAAAAAAACACACACACAGAACACTAGCTAAAAGCTAAAACAGCTATATGCTAGCTTAAAACTAAATTAAATAACTGCTAACCCCCAAAATAACAAAAAACTTACTATAAGTGTAACATAGCGACAAAGTAGCCTTAAGATAAAAGTTGCAAAAGCAGCAAAACATTAGCTAAAAGTAGCAGAAATGAGCTAATCACGGCAAAGCCCTAAAAACAAAATAAAACAACAACAAAAATTAAAAAAGCCAAAGGCTATAAACTAATAGTAATAAACGCTAGTCAAGAGCAGCGAAAAGTTAGCTAAAAGTAGTAAAAATAAGTTAAAAGCTGCAAAACTAACGAAAAATTGAAAGTTTCCAAAGACTGTGGGAGTTCCTGTTCCATGTCTGGCTTTGATCACTAGAGGGCGCCATATCACCACACCTGCAGGCATTTTTTCTTGATGAGGCACCTGATGACTTCCCTTCGACGCTGGAGCATTACCCTGCCTGTGGTTCTAGCCCTTCCTAGCCTAGTGATCTTTTCAGCATGCCTCCTGAGACCTACCTGATTATCGGACCTTCTCCTCTTGCCCTCCTACCACACGCCCTTCTGAGTCTACTGGACCTTCCCATGATTGTACAGGATCTTGGAACCAAACCACCTACCATCCATCTATCAGTAAGGACCCTGAACGTTCTGATCAACCCCTTATTTCAGAAAATCGGACCTGACCCATCTCTTTGCTCTCCAGGGTTCCTGATACTACCTGAACTATTATCCACTGTAAATAAAAGCACTGAATCTATACTAGTGTGTCTGAGTTGTTCATTATCAGTCCTTTCATTCTGGGTATTCTGTTCTTGTGACAAGTTATAGCTAAAAGTAACAAAATAGCCACTAAAGGCAACAGAATATTAACTAAACTCAATGGCAGCTTAAGAAAGCAGCACAGGAGCAGGTTTGCTCAAACAGATAGAAAATAGACTCCTTTTATTTTGCAACTATTCCTTGGGAGAATCATCAGATAAGATAGAACTGTATTGATCATCGTGTGACTTTTAAGATTTACCTTGATGATGAGGAAGACTGCTGAAGAGGAGTCGAAGGCGCCGTTGTAGAGGGTGATGATGGTAGAGCGATGAGCAGCAAACAGGTTTCCCACCTGCCAGAAACAAAAATATGTAGTTTAATGAATAAATAAATAAGCAATAATAAAAAAAGGATACAAATGAGCTTTGTAATGGACCTACATTAAACCCAGTAAAATTATTTCTCTTATTTACATTTTTATTCAGGATATGTAGCCTGTTTGTGGTATAAAAATAAATGTTTTACAATTTTTACCTGCATGTTGGTGAGAAGGAGCAGAATTCCTCCCACTGCGATGCAGGACAGAGCAGGAAAAAGCATCTGGGAAACATCTGCGGTTAAAAAAAAATAAAATAAAATCATTCCTTTGTACATTAAATTATAACATATTAATTTAACGTTTCTTTCTAATCCTACAAATTGTTTTATTTATATTTATTTTTTTTATAAACCTGCACTGGAGAAGGCCACAAGAAGAGTTCCTGTCGTGTATAAAGATCTGGAGGGAGAAGATTTAACAAAAAACAAGAAACTTTCATACGAAAAGAACACAAGAGCTTTAGCTGCTTTTAGACAGCATGGCTGAAAGGTCTGGAGTCAGAACGTCCAGTAACTGAATTAAATCTGATTTATAGAAATGCTGGCATTAAAGCAGAAAAATGTTTGTGGAGGAACTGGGAGGTGACTGCTGGAGTTTTTCTGCCTTTTGTCATTTAAAACTTTAGTTTATCATCTCAACTGTGACAACTGAACTCACTGAACATTTCAGCTTTTTTGTAAAAACCTCTTTCAAACTATTCGGCTTCTAAGTTATTTGGAAGACAAAGGAGGGTTTCAGGTTGTTCCTCGTCCATCTAAAATCTTTAAAAAGTGCCATGAATAATGGGATTTCACAGCAATGTTCTGTAAACTTTCATGTGTGAAGATCAGGACTGTGTCTGTGAGCGACAAGGAGCCTGACATGGACTCACATTCCCAGCAGCCGGGTCACCAAAGTGCCAAACCGATCAAACAGGAAGCCGTTGACCAGATTCAGGAAGTTGTTCAGGAACGAGGCGATGGTGAAAACCAGAGAGAACTGCTCGTCCTGATCCCGACAGTCTGAAAACACAAACAATTAGAGACATTGTTTTATTTGTGAAGATGGGTGTAAATTCTGAGGGCCCATTAACTAAAACTACAGCAACAAGCTAACTAGAAGCAAAAAGTCACAAAAGGCTAAAGCTACATGAAAATAGATAAATAGACCAGCAAAAGTCTACTTAAAGCTGAAAAAAAAAACACAAGCTAAAAGTAGCTAAAGATTTGCTAAAACGTTACAAAAAATCTAGCTAAAAGTAGTAAAAGGCTCATTAAAATTACAAGAAAGTGGTGAAATGCCAAAACTAGCAAATGACTAATTAAAAGTTAAAAGTAGCAAACGACTAGCTAAAAGATAAAAGTAAACATGATACATAAATTGCTAAAAGTAACAAAATGCTATGTAAAGCTAAAGGTAACAAAATGCTAGCTAAAAGTAGTTGAAGCTAAATTAAAGTGTTGAAAAGCTAGCAAGAAGCTAAGCAGCAAAAGGCTAGCCAAATGTTAAACGTTAAAAAAAGGCCAGCTAAAAGTAGCAAAACAGTGGTGAAAAGCTAAAACTAGCAAAAGGCTAACTAAAAGCTAAAAGTAGCAAATTCTGGATTAGATCTAAAATATGGTTAAGAATGACAAAAATGTCAAAAAAATAATAAATTTATTTTAAAACAAGACTATAAGCAAAACAAAAACAAACCTAGCTAGAATATTAAAGGAGCTAATGGCTTTTTGAAAGTAACAATAAGTTACTTAAAGCTGAAAGTAACAAACGCTACTAGCTAAAAGTTAAGTAGCAAAAGACTAGCTAAAAAATAAAGTTACCAAAAGCAAGCCTAAAATAAATAAAAGCTATTTAAAGCTGAAAGTAACAAAATTCTAGGTAAAAGTCGTTAAATGCTAGATAAAGTGTCATAAAGCTAGCTAGATGTAGCAAGAGGCTTGCTAAAAGATTAAAAAATAAATAAAAAAAGGCAAACTACAAGTAGCAGAACAGTTATGAACAGCTAAACCAGCAAAATGCTAAGATAAAAGTAACAAAACAGTAACTAAAAGTTAAAAACAATTAAGATAGTTAAATACAATAATATGTCAAAGGACTAGCCACAAGTATTAAAACATGTCTGTTTAACACAGCAAAAAGCTAAAAGTAACAAAAGCCAAAAGTAAGAAACTGCAATATTAAAATAGCAAAAGACTAGCTAAAGTAGTAGAACAGTAGCAAAGAGCTAACTAGCATAAAGCTAACTTAATGTTACATGAAAGCACAAGAAAACAAAAACAATAAACTGAAGCAGATTTCTAAGAGAAGGATTTGAATAGATTAAAAAGCATTTTTAATTGAAATATATTTTAAATAATTTCTAATATTTGGATCAGTTTAAAAGTGACAACAATCATAACCACACATCTCCCGAATGAGGTGAACATTTGACACCTCGTTGGTTAAAATGGCAAAAGGTAAGCTGAAGTAGTTTGACAGAAAATATATGGGATAGTGAAAAATGAGAATCTGCTTTTACAAGAATATGAACGAGCTCATCTTTACAGAACACAATAAAAATATAAATACATTTTTTACTGTGTTTTTCATGTTGCAGCCACAGTCAGTATACAGTAGCTGTATTTGATTCAGCTTAAATACCTGATTCTTGTGTTTTTTTTAACACAACAAACTTTCTTCATAACCATTCAAGTGTTTAACTTTCTGACAGGAGCAGTGAGGTCCATCTGACGTTTGCTCACCGGCCTGAGTCAGAGAGACGTTGCTGACGCACAGCTCGCTGAAGTACCCATCATCCTTCAGCACAAACACCAGAGAGGCATAACCAAACACCACGCCGGCGAAGCACAGACACTCCAGCATCCCTGAGGCCAGAGTCAGCCAGTGGCGCAGCTTGGTACCATCCTCACAGCTCTTCATGGTCCAGGCCGTCCCACCAAGGATCCAAACAAAGCCTCCAGTTCTGAGAAAGATGTTTAGTTTTCAAGACTTCTCTGCAGCTCTTCCATCCACCCCTCGAAACGCGTTTACCTAAGAAACAAGAAAAAAATGGAAACTGATACTCGACTTTTCTGCACGTTTCTGTAAACGCTAAAACTGTCAGCACCAAATCTCAAAGCTGAGTTTACATACACATTATTTAAAAGTCAAAGCTGCTAAAAAAAAGAGAAAGAAAATCTGCTTTTTTGTTTGTTTGTTAAGAAATAACGTCTTGCTAAAGAAGATGAAACTGAATTGTTAAAGCTAAAATAGCAAAACACTAGCTAAATTCTATAAGAAGCAGAACATTGCTAAAAAGTAAAATAAACCAAACACTAGCTAAGTGCTAAAAGGTGTAAACAGGCCACTAAAATCTGAAGTAGCAAAAGACTTGCTATAAGCAGCAAAAGGTTAGCTAAAAGCTATAGTAGCCAAATGGGAGCTAAAAGTAAAATGTGGAAAAAGTGCAGCTAAAGGCAAAAAAAACAAAAACAGAACAAAAGGTCAAAGTAGCAAAAAGCTAACTGAATGCAAAAATAGCAAAAAAAAAGTTAATGCTAAAAGTAGCTAAAAGTTAACTTAAAGCTAAAAGTAGCAAAAACAAATAGCAAAATGTATAAACTCAACGTAGAAAAAGGTAAACTAACTAAAGGGGAGCTGAAAGCAAAATGTGGAAAAAGTGCAGCTACAGGTAAGCATAACATAACAAAAGGTAAAAGTAGCAAAAAGCTAGTTGATTGCAAAAATATCTCAACAATAGATTAATGCTAAAAGTAGCTAAAAGTTATCTAAATGCTAAAAGTAGCTAAAAAAAAAACCTAGCTAAATGTAAAAAATCCAGAGTTAAAAGCTCTTTGTAGAAAAGGGTGAACTTACTAAAGGGGAGCTAAATACAAAAATAGCAAAACAAAAAAAAATGTTAAATGTAGCAAAAAGTTAGCTAAAGGCAAAAAGTAGCTGAATGGTAGTCAAGAACAAAAAGTAGCCCAAGAAAACAAAAACGCAGTCTGCAAAAAAAAAAAAAAAGAAAAAGAAGATGTTTTGAAAAACTGTAGAGATCTCAGTAGCTTTCTGTGGGGAACTCAAAATATTAAAAGAATAATTGTTACAAAAAAAAAAAAAACAAGTCACAACAACCAATCCCTGAATGAGCCGAATGTTTTGCTCCATGAGTGGCTAAAACAGCACAAAGTAGGCAGAAGTAGTTTGTTTGCAATGAATATAAGAAAAAGGGAGGGATTACATTTTATTTTCTATACAGGCAACAATTAAACAAAACTAAATTCAACTATTTATGCACAAGTTAGTTTAAGTCAGTCGTTGTTACTCAACTGGTTTGAACGGAGAAACTTTTAGGCAAAAACAAATGAAACAAAACATCACCCTCACTCTTCCATGTCGGCCAGAAGCCCTTTGTAGATGACATTTTTATGCTTACCACTGTACTGTTTTTTACTTTTTAATCAGAAACTTCAACTAAACCAAAACATCTTTAACATCCAGCTTCAAATATAACCTCAAAACATAAAAAATTGATTGAAAAAATTAAATGACCTGAATTAACTGACTGGAATAATAATGAAAATGGACCTTTTACCTTAATAAAGCTCCTTCATTTCAGCTCCTGTGGGTTTTTCTTGTAAGTTCTGCTGCGGTTGGGTGGGTTTTCCCTTTCAGAACACCTCTTATCTCGGCCCAAACACACGCTATGACATGCAAACATGACAGACCGCAGCCGTTATCGACAGGAGGCCCTGACTCTAAGCCAGATTAGCTGGGTTAATCTAAATGTAAAGTACACTTGAGTCGACACAACGCTGGCCCAAAGATGCTTCAAGTTAGGTTCTGAAATGTGACT